TGTTCTGTTTAATTTAAATATTATGTTTTATAAAAATATATTTGTTTTTGTAATTATTAAAAAAAATACTAAAAAAAATAAAAATAAATAATGACATGGAAATTATTTGGTGCATGGTTACCATTTCTACAATGATGTTATAATATCATGGGTGATTGGGATGTGAGATGACATTTTTTTGGTGTTATAACATGTTGTCCATACTTATTTAATTTTACTGATCAAGTAAACTTGCATCCTAGGTAGGTAAACATTTATTTATTTATTTTTTCTTTTTTATTCTGTAAGAATCAAAATGCCTAACTTCTTAGGAGATGTTTGGGAGTGCTTTTCAATCAACTTATTGACTTTTTGGACAAGTGAATTCCTGACTTTTTGAAAGAAGTTATTTTTCGCACTAAAAAGTTGGTGTTTACCAAACATTTTTTTAATTATTGACTTTTTAAAAAGACAAAAAACATTCACAAACACCCCCTTAATATGATCAACAGATCAAGTATGTATGAATTGTTAGCAAGGAGATGGTGGACATATACATCTCGATTTGAGTTCATAAAAGGCTACCAAGGCATATAAACTACTTAAAAGACTCGCCAGTTGGGATGGGGCTTATGGGTTAGATGGGTAATAAGGTAATTTTCTCTCCAAGATTTTTTCCCAATGCATATTAAAGATTTCAACTAAATTATTGGTAATTCAGGGATCAGTTTCTATTACCATGTCTTTGTATCAAACAAGGTTATGCTTTGTTTTGTTCTTATTTGACCTTAGGACTCAATGATGTGGATAAAGAAAGAAGCAACTCGAATATATCTTAAATCTTGAAAAGAACTCGTTGTTCATCTCTTATAGCGCCTGTTCAACCGCAAACAATTCCATGCCATAAGTAAATTTTGGAAATAAGCACCATGAATAGGTCAGAAAAGACGTAGTATCTTCGTTTATGGTGACATGAGATATGTTCATTAATAGCTGACTATATTAAGTCATGTCCCCAATTTGTTTATAAGTCAAAAGGATAGAGTATCTTAGTTTATGGTGACGTGAGATACGCATCAATATTTTTGTGGCTAAATAGGGTATATTACGTTTTGTAGCTTTGCAAATAACTGAGAAGGGGGCATGTTTTCCATGGATGGAATGAAGGAGTTATTGACATAGCTCCAACATACAAGTATGAAGTGAATTCAGATAGATATGTAGGTGAAAATCCAAAGGAACGTGAGAATAGGAAAACACCAGCATGGTAAATAGTATTTCCTCAATTCTAATAAAAAGAAGGGTTAGACTTTTGAGGTCAAACAGTTAATATTTCAAATTTTTGTTTCATCTGCACATTGAAATGTTATGAGTTTCGGTTATGATTCATTGAACTTCATACCAAGAATAGATCTAAGTAAGGTCGCACATACTCGAGCTTAAACGGACAATCATCCTGCAAAAAACTTCCTGTTACTTTTGTTCCAGACAAAATCAAACAAAATGCTGTACACATTAACAAAAAAATTTATTGTTACCGTTTTCCATAACAGGTATTATGTCATCTTGTTTCTTTTTTATTCTTCGGTCATATTGTTATAAGAATTGGATAAACTTTCCAGGGATATTTTTGATAATAACAATTAGGGATGTAAACGAGCCTTAACGAGCCGATCCCAAGCTTTATATATGTTTCACGAGCTCAAGCTTGAGCTCGAGCCTCCAAACTCTTAACGAGCTCGAACTCGAGCTTCAATAACTTTAAACGAGCCTGGTTTGATTAGTGTGAAGCTCGGTTCAGCTCGTTTACATCCCTAATGACAATAACGAAGGAATTTACAATTTGTTTACACAAACAATCTTGCTCCACTCTTTTTGGTGTGATAAAAAATGCAATATTTGTCGCTTTACAATCTGTTTACAAACCAATCCGGTAGCAACTGCGAGGACAATTCTCCACCGCCTATTTCATGAAGGGCACAAACGTCAAACCCAATTAGTTGGACTTGACGCGTTCACATGCGACGAACGTCCGTGGAACATAATACACACTCGTGGAAATAATCAAATGCGACGAGTGTCCATGAAACATCATTTAAATGTTAAACTTTTATTTTGGATGACCACGACGTGGTAGAGCTTCACCACGGTGTGACAATATTTTTATGATCGCGAAAATTTAATGTCCCGCCACAGCTTGGCCATAAGTGCCACGACATGGCAGCTGTTTTTGGAGAAAATCTTAATCCTTGGGCTTTCGGCCCTATTTAAAGGACATTATGGCTAGGGTTTCGTGATCATTCAGCCTCCATCACCCTCTCAAGCTCAGAAACCCTAACGCTAGCCTCTATTGCATTTGTGAACTCATTTTGATACTTTTGGTGATCTTTGAGGGAGAATGAAGCTTTTGGTGTGGTGATTCACCTTGTAAGAATCATCTACATCTTCTAACATATATTCTGGACCTTTGTGAGTTTCCGAGACTCAACCTTTTCCTTGCTAAGTTTTTTTATCTTTAGATTTTGTCCCTTTTCTTCATGTCTTGATGGGTTTGGGTGGTGAGATCTCATAAAGTTTGCAACTTTATGAATCTTCGGGTCATTTGGAGTATTTGGTGTTTTGGATTTAAAGTACAAATGATTTTTGGTGTCATGCATGGAAGTTTGGTCATTAACCCTGGTTTTGACCTAATAGAAGTTCAAGACATGCATTGGATATACATGTCTGAAAAGCATGATTTTTTATGTTAGTAATGATGCTAGGAACCAGTCTGGAATTGTTAGGAAAGAGACCTTCAAGATTAAGTGCTTAATGATTAAGCCATTTGTGTTTTTGACCTTTTTGGACCTAGGAGTTGAGATCTTTATCTCTTGGATAGTCTTACTGGATAAAGTTGGAAACTTTATCCATTTAGACCATAGAATGAACCAGAACTGAGTTTTGGTGCCCTTAGAATAGAAGAAAAAGACTTAACCCATTAAATTGTTAGGAACCTAGTGCCCACGACGTGGCCTTAGGTCGCCACGGTGTGGCGAATGGGCAAGAGCTCGTCTGTTTTGTCATCCAAGGATGACCACGACTTGGTGACCAGCGAAATGTTGACCTTTGACTTTGACCAAGTTTGACTTTAGCTCATTTGGGGTATTTTGAGTAGTAGATTGAGGCTTGATCCATGTGTGTTGTACATGTGACCTGTAAAGCCAGTGTTTGGAGCAGTGATCAGTTCAATTATCGTTCAAATTGTGAGGTGAGTCTTCCTCACTGTACTCGTGGGTCGAAGGCACCAATGTTGACCCACTAGGTTATGTATCCTGGTATATAGGATAATGTTATGTTGGTTATATGCTAGACTGGTAAATCTGTATGATTACTTGTATTTACTGGTTATATGTTAGACTACTAGATCTGTATGATTAACTGTATTCACTGGTTATATGTTAGACCGGTAGATGTGTATGATTATTTGTACTTGCTGGCTATTGGTTATCGTTGCATATGTCGACATGTTATTTTTTTGTTGGGTTGAGGTGGTACTGCTTGTGTTGAAGGCCAGGATACATAGGCGGTCTAGTTGATATTGTAGGCCCAAGGAAGCAGTCCAACTTATGTTGTAGGCTCGGAAGCGGTCCAGCTAGTAGCTAAAGGCTCGATGGTGGTCCAGCCTTATGTTGTAGGCCTGGTTGCGTGCATTGTACATATGTTGTTGTGTGGGGTAGTTTGGGTAAACTCACTAAACTTTGACTTACAGTTTGATTTATGGTTTCAGGTACATCAGATTTACATGGGCAAGACGAATGCGTGATTGTGCACATCATCCTAGATATAATTTGACCTATGATTTTGGGACACTCTGATTTATAATTATGGTTTTCAGAAACTATGTTTTGTATGAATCATGGATTTTGATATGGTTTTAAAAATGAAAAATTTGTCATGATTTCATGTTATATATATATATATATATATATATATATATATATATATATATATATATATATATATATATATATATATATATATATATATATGCTTTTTTTTTATTTATTTTATCATGTAACTTTTAGATTGACTTATAAAGCTTTATATTCTATGCAAAGTTTATTGAAGGTCCAATGAATGTTACACAGAAAGGCATTGGGTGGGCAACACTTGACAACAGTTGACAACTTGACATGCATATAAGTTCATCTCGACTTTGTGATAATCATAGAATCGTTTATCATCTTATAAAATTTCCTATATGGATACTGAGTTAATTTTCGTTAAACGATATCAAACATTAATGTAAATCATGTCATTTGTACAAAACGTTAATTTTCGTTAAACGATATTATTTTATTTAAACGATAATAAACTTCTAAGTATGCAATTCCTATATTATTGCGGTCATAACTCACCATGACCAAGTGGTTTCTCAATGTCATGACAAAATGGACCAACAACAATGACAAGATACGTTCATTTATTTGTATCTTCTAATAGCATATTTTTATTTACTTATATTAAAATATCTTTTTTCATTTTTTTTTCTTATTATTACAGTGTATTCCAAATTATCTATATATTTACAATTTAGGACATTTTAATTCAAGATCCACATTGAATTATAAGCTTATAACTGTAAAAATTACGTTGTATTTTTCGACATTATATAATATATAATTATGTAAATATTTTTAAATATAATGTTTTAATAAAAGAAATAAAAATACAATGCTATCATAAAAAAATCAACATAAATAGGTGCTTTTTTATCAACCCTATAGAAAATATAAACATAAAAATTTGCATATAAAACCTTTCCATATATAGCTTCCTTCGCTAAATAACAATTCCAGTTCATTCCTTCCTACATATTTTCTGCTTTACTTTTCTCATATCGCATATTACTTGCAATCATTATTACATAGAAAAATAAAAGTACAACATAATATTCAAAAAAAAAAAACAAAAACAAAAACAAAAAAATTTCAAAAATTCAGCCACAAATTGATTTCTCAAAAAAAACAATCAATCGTTTTTCAGGCTAGCCACTCCCCATCCATTCCTTCAATTTCACCTATATCCATGCTGCATTTTTCAAATTCAAAATCAGGTATTAAAAAAATAAAATAAAACCATTACTCATTAGTCAACCTGTAAAATTAAAATTCAAACATTTCATTGTACACAATTATAAAAATTGTTGCAATTTCCACACGTAATAAAAAAAGAAAAATGTCAATGTGAATAAAAATGTAAAAAGACATTTAGAGATATGGAGGTGGGGACCTATGTGGTCTCACTGCCATTGTTTTAAAGTCTCATACTGCAACAATTCAGAGATTGCAATAGTCTTTTGCTAAAACAACAGTAACAGCACCAACAAACATTACAACTAAAACTGCTAAATGTAAGAAATAGTATCCTACTTTCATTTATTTATGTTGCATCATTGTACTTTTAATTTTTTTTTTCCTCTTATTAGAATATGATACTTCAAATTATACCCAATTATAACGTTTGTTTGTTTGTTTTTTTTTCCTTATCATGAGTCCTGACATTATACTTCGAGAAATCTCTCCAATTATAGCATTGCACTTTTGATTTTGATATTATATTTCAAAAACTCAACTTAATTATAGCATTCTACTCTCAATTTTTTTTTTCTTATCACGGCATTATACCTTGAAAAATCTATGAAATTATAGGATTGTACTTCCCAATTTTTTTTTCTTATTAGGACATTATAGTACTGAAAATTATTTTGTATTTGGATATAACGTTATAATAGGAGAAATGAAAGTATGCTATATAAACAAATTAATGGAAGTACAACATTGCTATTTCTTAAATTTAACCTAAACTAAAATGGTTAAAACGGATTTAGCAACGTAATTATCTCAAATAGCAACAAATTGCATGTTGTAAAAATGGTTGTTTCTTGATTTAAAAATAACATTACTATTGTACGGAGAATATAGTAAATACCAACATAAAACATTTCCGATTTCATTACACTTATTAAATTTAATAATTTCTACAAATATACAAAAATGAAAAAATCAGAGAAATAAATGAAGAATCTTACCAAGGTAAAGGAGGATCTTGCATGTACGCATCAGAAAAATTAAGATCTTGTAAACAAGAGTTCTCATTTCCATTAATCAACCATGGTGGAAACTTCATAACTTGATCAAATCCATAAAACTCATCTCCTTCATCATCTTCCATTTCCATATTCTTCAAGAAACTACACCACCTTGCTGACGTCATCAAATTAATGGTGTCATTCCACTCAATCTGGTGTTTCTCACCCAACGACCGTATCTCCTCCATCTCCTCATCTCCCATCGCATGATGCAACCCGCCGGAGGAATTTTCCGGCGTCTCCTTCCGTTTTCCAGCCACTGGATTAGAGGAAGTTGAAGATGATGACAATGGTGTTTGATAAAAACGGGTGTCTAAATTTTCAAAATTCTGAAAATTTAAATTCAATCCCAAAGTTTGACTCGGAAGAAATAAATTTAAGTTGTCATGGTACGCTGGCGGCAGTGGCGGTGCAGTGGCGGAGATAGGCCAATACAAATTGGTAGCGGTGGCGGCACCACCGTCCGTGGTGGTCGAAGGATAAAGGCTGAGAATTCGCCGGGATTTTGGTTTTTTCTCTTGTACTGGCGGCGGTTGGTGGTGGTTAGTGGCGGCACCACCGGCGGCCTCTTGTTGTTTCATGGAAGCTCTGTGAAACTTAAGAGCGGCGACAATTTCTCTTCTGGCTTCTGCCATGTTTAGGAGTCGTTCTTGATAAGGTCTACTGGTGTGTAGTCTTCTTCTGACTTGTTTTTTGGGCTTTTGTGGTTTTTGGGTGTTATTATTAATTTCACTATAATGTTTCTCATTTTCCGGCGATCCACCACCACCACCACCACCGTCGTTGGTGGTTAAGTGTTTCACAAGGCTACGGATGTAAACACCTGATACACGTGGTTGGAGCTCTTCTTTAGCTTCATCAACTTTCTCTGTTTCCATTGATCTCCTTCCTTTTTTAGCCATAATCTACCCCTCATCTATATATACATAGATATATCTATATATACATATAAATATATTTTAATTTCTTTTTTTGGGAAAAGTTTTTTTTTTTGAGGAAATTGGAAAAAAAAAAAAAAAAAGGGTTTTGATTGAACTTGAGTTTGCCTTTCTGAAAGAAAAAGCAATGCAGAGGCAGAAATCGGCAGTGTCTCATGAAGGATATAAATAGCTGGGTACCTGTTTCTTTTTTTATTATTTAATATATTCTCCAATTTAAAATAAATTAGTATTTGTGTTTTTTTCCCTATTTTGGAAAATCAACTAGGTTTTTGGATTTTCTTCCCCTTATGTCAACTTGCTCTTCACACAATACCATATAATATATATGACTCATTATATGCCAATAAATATAAGATTCGCAATCTGTTACGTGATTATTCAAATAACTATGTTCCAATATTGTTGTGAAATAGTACAAACATAAAAGTGTAAAAAAGAATAAACTATGACAAGAATTGATTAAAAAAAATGAGAATATGACGTCATTACTCTTTTTTAAGGATCTAAGTGCGCGTGTGTGTGGGTATAAGATCATAACGAATTGCTTTTTTCAGCTTAAAAAAGAAACTACTTGCCTAAAATAGTAACAAAACTAATAGATGATACTAAATATATATAAGTCAAACCATATGGAATGTATCTATGTACTATGTAATATGTATCACTGCTGATGCACATAGTTGACTTCTTTGACCACTCAATTAACTTCATGTTCAAGCTCAAAGCAGAAATGAACTTTATTTCACCATTTCGATATAAAGTAAAACAAAGTAATAACTAAAAAGCAAAACACAAATCCAATAATAAATTAAAGTTACTAATATATTAATTTATAATTTAAATTCAAACTAAGTGAGACATATAGTATAAGTACAATGACTTAATTGGGAGAGTAGAAGCAATAGAATAGTAACAAATTTTATATAAATTTAGTATTTGGAAAATATATAGTGCTAATTATTTATAACAAAATCGTAAATGAGTATCTTTTGTAATGGGACCATTCTTAAAAAAAAACGTCAGCAGAAGGCAATGGAAACTGACAGGAGAACCTCAACCTCCATTGCTGTTGTGAGTTGTGACCTTACTTTAATTGTAAATAAATGTTTGTGTATACGTGTAAGTATGCAATTTGTATGAATTAAAAAAAAACGATGCATAAAAGTCCAAATTTTCTGTATATAATTGACCAATATAATTTGTTTCTCATGTTAAAGGTAAAAACAGAGAACTTGGTCATTTATTCTAAGGACACAAGTAGCCTATTAAAGACACAATTCCTCCATACCACCTCAAAAATAATCTTTCTCCACCTACCTTGACTTTACTTTTTTTTTTTATTTTTTTTTATTTTTAATTTAATTTCACACAAAAGGCATGGCTTCTTAGTTGTTTGGGTGTATTTAGTCCATAATTTGAAAATGAAAAGTAAAAGTCGATAAGAATATTACATTATTACACCATATTTTCATATTCAAGAAGTAAGAGAAATAGGGCAAATTACATAAACAAAAACACACATTATACTATGGGCAGTTTTGCAGTTTAATCATTAATACTGTATTTTTTCCAATCAAACCATAAAAGTTTCAAGCAACTTTTTTCAAATTAATCATTTTGACATGTTGTATCAAGTTTCATTGGTAAATTTACAAATTAACCTTATTGATATGTTATATCATGTCAAAATGGTTAAATTGGAAAAACAATTATGGTTTGAGCGGAAAAACCAAATAATAAGTGGTTATACCGCAAAATTGCCCAAAATATAATGTTTTTTTTTCTTTTTGTAATTTGCCCAAAGAAATATAAAATATTATATGTTCACATATAAGAAATCCTATTGAATTTGAAATTTCTTTAAAGAAATTAAAGAGTAAGCATCTGGTAACATACCTTCATTGAACTCAAAAAGTGAAAACTAAACTTTTCTACATTATGGATAATCACTTGGGTTGATGTTTAGAAAGCAAGGCTGCAACCAGAAAGAACAATAAATACTAGTAACATTTAAGAAGGACAAATTAGGAATTAGAAAATTCTGGTCATAAAAAGAGGGGGAAATAGATAAAATGATTATAACTCTCATGGTATTTTCACTTTTATAAGTCAACAAAATGATTTATCAATCACATAATATGAGGTTTGCAAAATCAGAACAATTGCATAAATTGGGAAAAGGTGAAACTTTGTTGCATAAATATGCATTTAACCTTTTATTTATTTTGCCCCACAAGAAAAATGTTTTTAATATCAGTGAAGTCGAGTCTTGATTAAAATACATGCAAGTAGATATCCATAAAACAGTCATTTTATAGGCTTTTCAAACATGTTCTTGTATGCAATCTATGCATGTCAGCTTGTAAGAAAAAAAGTTGTCCTACTGAAAATAATATGAATCTAGAAAGTAACTTAGTCTTATTATTTTATCACTTCATATATATAATATAATAATTGTTGCAGTATTTTATTAGAGTAATTCAAACACCCCTTACCCTATTTTCATGGGAGTTTGGTTTTGTTATTGTTATTGTTGTATGTATTCATGAATCATGCAACATTTTACAATATATGATCTTATATAAATAACAAATCTCTTTTTTTTTCCACAAGCCAACTATTATAGCAAACGGTCATTTACATGGAATTTTTCTTGGACAATTTTTAAAATAAAAGAAATAATATACACTTTCAAAGCACCTAAAAGATCATAATTGCAGGCATTTGAAGAAAGTAGGAACATCTATTGGCTGGTTAATTTAGTGCAAAATCAAGAAAGGTTCAAATCTTATCCTTTTCTTTTTTTCGATCAGGAAAACAAACTTAAAGACATTCTGTTTTCATAAAATTTGGCATCACTAAACTCCAAATATCTTACTACAGCCAAAATCCAATAAAAAGAATCTAGAGGAAGTTATCCAAATTCAACAAACTTCATACATACGAAACAAAAAAGATATGAGATAAATTTAGAGAAGCAAACACACACAAACACTTGAAGACGGATGTGTCAGAATTAAGATCATATATGCATATGTTATATGTATTTGATTGTCACAATATGAGCAAATCTAAGAGAAAATTACCCAAATTTCAATACTATATATAGATAGAGTTATGCATATATATCTAAATAAATTATTTTAAAGATTCATGCATATAACTGGAGGAAGTAAAAGCGAAGATGAGTAACGCTTATCATCATATTCACATGTGATCACACATAAACGCGACAGGAAACAGATAAAAGTAAATAAATACATCTGCATAGAAAACTAATAAATTGAAATAGAAAAAGACCTTCGAGAGAGTCCCCTGACTCTGAGTGGATAAACATGAAATTGACAATGAATTGGCTTCTTTCTGAATTCAGTAAACCTGATTCCACCAATCAGAAATTCTTCGATTTTTTGAGTCATTTTTCTTTCGAAATTCTCTCTCCCCCATCTTTTAGATTCCATTCACACAAAGGTGATGTAAGAAAGTAGGATAAGAGAAAATTGTAATTCAAAGGACCTGCGATTTTGGGAGATCAAGTTGCAAAAAGTTAAGGGGGAACAGAAGAAATACGATCCGACCATTGGATGCTCGTCTGATCTTTAACACCTGAGAGAGAGAGAGAGAGAGAGAGAGAGTGTGAGAGTGAGTGTGACATTGTATCTATCTTCGTTAAGGATTTTGTGACCTGAAAATTGTCAGTCCTGTGAAAAAAAAAAAAGTAAAACTCATTAGTTAAAGAAAAAACATCATAAATGGTCCATGTGGTTACCTAAAATCTGAAGTTTAGTTCCCGTGGTTTAAAAACCTCATAGATGGTCCCTGTGTTTTCAAAACTTTTGACGATTGGTCCTTATTGCTAATTCCGTTAACTTTTGTCCGTTAATTGAGGGGCATTTTTATCATTTCACACCACAGGGACCATTTATGATCTTTTCAGTTATTTTTTTAAAAAAAGAAAAAACTAAATATAATATTTAATATATAAAATCTCTCTCTCTCTCCGGAAAACACAATCGAATCTTCATCAGATGGTGGTGTTACCGGTGTTAACGGGTGGTGGTGGTATAAAGATTCAAACCAAATTCAATACAAGTGCACGTCCTATCTCTTTTCCAGATTCATGCACATCCATACAAAGATGATTTTTTTATAAAGATTTAAACCAAATTCAAAACAAATACACACCCTCTCTCTTACGGATTCAAAAGCCAGAAATCAGGGGAAAGAAATCTCAGCACCAATCAACATCTTAAGCAGATTAGGAGTAGAAACAAATGAAACAAAAATCAATTGGTTATCATATCTTTTGGAAGGCTTGATCGTAGTTATTCGAGAAAGGGATGATCTCAGAAGCGTTTAACCCCAAACCCACCCTCACTACCATTTTCTCTCTGTTCCTCTCGTATCTTTCTCGTCTTGCAGGTCCAAATCTAGGTAAATAACCCTCTCCACCCCTACTCCCCTCTATGCTTCGGTAATCCCCATCTCCATTTTGATTTGCCCCCATTATAAACAACCCTTTTCAAACCTCAAAAATGTATGGAACCTGGATGGGGAGACAGACACGAGGTTATAAGAAGAAACCACAAAACGAGGCCAGAGCATCTTCATATTTAGAAATAAAAAATGAGCCTGATCGTTATTGATCGAGATCAGACTCGAAAGGGGGTGATGGACTTATGCAACAGACGATATTTCTGTTTCGATCTTCAATGGTTGAGTTTCTTCGATGGCAGAAACGATCTTCAATAAATGAGAATTAGGGGCGATCTATCGACTATCATCTTCAGATTCAGATGAGATCCATTGTTTTTATGCATCTCCTGAAGTTGTCGGAACCTAGCCTTCATCCTCACCGTCACTACTGACATCGTTTTCAACTAAAATCCCTAACAGGTCCTGGCGCTTAATACCTATAATGATACAAGCTCCTAGAAAGCAAAGGGATGGAATTCGAGTTTAACAATAGAGGAGTGAAGCATAAGATTGGGAATGAGGATGAACGATGGAATTAGTTGAAACTGATTGAACCAGTGGAGAGAGAGAGAGAGAGAGAGAGATTATATATTAAATAATTATATTTAGTTTTTTCTTTTTTTAAAAAATAACTGAAAAGATCATAAATGGTCCCTGTGGTGTGAAATGACGAAAATGCCCCTCAATTAACGGACAAAAGTTAACGGAGTTAGCAATAAGGACCAATCGTCAAAAGTTTTGAAACCACAGGGACCATCTATGAGGTTTTTAAACCACGGAGACTAAACTTCAGATTTTGGGTAACCACAGGGACCATTTATGATGTTTTTTCTTAGTTAAATAATTCATATTAACTTATTTATTGAAACAATGCTATTTGTTTCATTCACAAAGATTTTTGGAAGGTTTTATATAATCACTAGGTTGAAACCCGTGAAACCCACGGATGATAATTTTAAATCGAATTAAAAAATTGATTATATAATAAAGTAGTATATTATTAATTTAGAAAAACTTATGCATTGTAATGTTGTATTTTTTTAATAACTTTGTAATTTGTAAGTATTTAATTACACATGTAAATACACCTATTTTATAAAAGGCATGAGTTTGTATAATGCAACATAATATCACTCAGAAGACAAACGTGTGGGTTGTAAAAAAGGCTTTATTCTTATTAAACCCTTACTTTTGGTGTATGATTCTTATTGAACATATACGGGTTATAAAATCGACCACATGGGAGCCCGTGGGAAGAAAAAAAGTTTGTTGGCTAAAACGTCATTTTTCCTATTGTAACTTATCATCCCAATAAATCTTTAACTCCACTGTCTCCATCTTTTTTCTTTCATTATAAGATACCTCTTCCATTTATTTCTTTTTAATATTGATTTTACAAAAAGAAGAATTTTCTTTATAAAATGACACCATATACTTGTGGATTATTGGTAAATTAAAGATCAGCAACTTTTGCTCATAATTTATAAGTAATCAATATATTAAATGACTATATCTCTAGATTATTGTAAGTGTTTTTATTGCCTTTCTTACCGAATATATAATAAAGATACAAGGGTTTCTCTTATATAACTTCAGAAATCGACAGTATTATAATTAGACTAAACTGCACAAATGATCCCTGTGGTTAGCTCAAAATTGTCACTTTGGTCCAAAAAGGTTTGGACTAGCACCAGAGGTCCAAAGTTTTCATTTTGTTGCGAGTTTGGTCCAAAGTACTTTGAAAATATCTAAAATGACAAATTTACCCTTGGTGTTTTCTTTTTTCAATTTTTTATTAAGTTTAGTTATTAAAATAAATAAAAAAAAATAAAATTTAAACACCCCTCCCCACCCCACCTTCATTATCTACCTTTTTGTTTTTATCAAGTTTAGTTATTAAAGCTCAACCACCACCATCACCAAGGCTGCCGCCGATAGCACATCCACCACCGCCTGAAGCCGGTAGAAGGGATATGAAGAGAAACAATCGTAGAGGCATAGAGACAGACGTCGATTGGAGCTAGAAACTAGTGAAGTCAAAGGGTTTTTCTTCTTTCTCTCCTTTCATCGTTGAAGATTGGTGAACAGATCTGGGAAATGGAGAAGACGAAGGGTGGCGTCTGCGAAGGGAAGTCTTCAATGTGGAAATCCGACATTGTCTTTGTCGTTTGAGAGGGAGGCAACATCATCGTCTTCGTCTGATAACAAATCTGGATACCATCTGAAACCTCGACGAAGACGAAGACATTGACGACGAATGATTCCAAAGCTTGAAGCCAATACAGGGAGGGCAACGAACCAGGGTTTCGACAGTAAGATTTTCAGATCGGAGGGTCACCACTGCATCTGGAAATCTGCAAACGTAAAGCCAAAATGGGAAGGGCACCGAAACTGCCAATGATTAGGGTTTCAGTAGATCCTCGGAGACGCTAGGGATTTTGCGAAGAGGTGCAGCTCCGCTAGGGTTTCTCAGAGGAGGAAGATCAGAGAGAGATACATCCACGGATAGGAAGAAGATCAGTGGAGCTCTACTAGTAATTATCATATGCATTCCACACTCTATCTAATTGTTCTTGTCACAAATCTGATTGTTCTTGTGGGTTTAAAATTCTGGTAGTTCTTGAATTTATGGTTGCAGATCTGAAAAAAAATGTTTGAAGTCATCAGATGGTGGTGGTAGTTCTTGAGTTTCAATTTATCTTGTTGTGCAGTTGGTGGTGACCGGTAGGGCGGTGGTAGTGGCAGTTATTGGTGACCAACTATGGCGGTAGCGGTGGCGGTGGTAATTATCGGTGGTGGTGATATCATAACTGGTAGTGGGCTAAGAGGGGGAAGGGTGGGGTAGGGATACGGGTAGTATTTTCTTTTTTTTTGTTTTATTTTTAATTATAAAAATTGTAAAATGTATTTAAATAAATAAATAAAAACTAAAAAGCAAAAAGTAAGGGCAAAATCGTCATTCATAAAAAGTTTAAATCAAATTGGACCAAACTCGCAACAAAATGAAAACTTTGGACCTCTGGTGCTACTCCAAACCTTTTTGGACCAAAGTAGCAAATTTGAGCAAACCATAGGGACCATTTGTGTAGTTTAGTCTTATAATTATAATATTTTATATAAATAATGGCCCGTAGTATATATAAAACTAACAGCATGCTAAGTACTTACTATTCGACTACAATTAAAAAAACCAACTTGATTACTACCAATATTGCCAGTATCGTCCATTATTAATTAAAAAATATTCAAAGATAATGATATAGTTACATTTAAGTTCCAAACTCACTTGTGCTTTTAATACTTTTTTGTGTTTTCAAATCAGCACATATAATATAACCATCTGCAAAACCAAAAGAAACATTGTCTTCGTAAAAAAAAACTACTCATTCAAAACATCTCTTAGAAAAAAAAAATAAGAAAGTTTAACTTATGATTAGCGGATACAACAGTAGAAAGTCACTGTTCATATCCCTCCCTAGTAATCTGTAGGTGACTCCTGGATAACATAATCTGGAAAAGGACCATATCTAGTTTCATGTCAAATCATATTATAATAGCAACATTTCAATGTTCACTTCGAAGTTATTATGATTAACTATTTGAAACTCGGACCATTTAAGTAACATTACATACATAAAAACAAAATTAACAAAAACCACATTTTGATTAAAATAATACATACCAATGAAAGAACTAAGTTGAAACTATGGTATTTGTGAAACGGAAGTCAACGGACAACAAATGAAATTGTGAAAAAGATATACATTGATTATGAAAGATGCCTGAAAATGACAAATTCTAACAACAAATAGAGAACCCACAAGTTTCAAGCAATGAAATCGTTGAAACTTTCATAACTTACTAAAACTCAATCTACAATAATGTTGAATATTAAAGAAAATAATATTGCCTAGAAAATCCAGAGAGAAAGGGAAGAAATGGGATAGTGAAAATGATGGATAAGATGAAGTGAAATTAAAATGGTACCTGCTTTATATTCCTGTCAGAGACCGATCTGAAACATGGTGGTGTATAATCGAATTTTACCCATTCGACTGATCATCTAATGTACTGTTTTATTGAAAAACATTAAAAGTCAATGTAACAAACTTTTGACTTTCTTACCTTGAGCACATATTGTAGAAGTGTTGACTACACTCTTCACAAGCAAAAAACTTATGTATAAAATCGCAAATTGACGTAAATGTCATTTGACTTTCTTCATTTTCAACTCTCACGGATAGTGAATGTAGCAAAACCCATAAACCACAGCTGCAATTAAATAAAAAAATAGGTTTTTACAAAATATAAAATTATAAGATTAATAATAATATATTATATACCTGAATCCCCTTGTACCATTTTTGCTACCACGACAAAACATCTGTACATATAATAGCCAAAATCAGGATTTTCAAAAGTATTAATTTTGTTATCTCTTTTATAAAAAATTGAAAAAAGAAAATATAAAATTTACCCAATATCCACGTGGGACTTCTTTTCCACGTATCTCAAATTTAGTAAGACCACCATGTTGAGTGTTGTTTTTTTCAAATGGTGACAAAATATTTGAAGGGTATAAATCGTCAAAATTCACAAGTATATCAGCACTTCCTCTTCGACGCCTACAATGTTTAAAATTATAAACTAAGTAAATAGAAAAAAAAAATGAAACAAAGAAAAGTGGGTTATTTAAAATATGAACCTCTTTGAAGGGTGATGAGCTATCATTAATTGCATGAATTTTATAAGAGTAGCTCGAGTATCTGGTTTAATCATCTTGTTTTCAAGAATAATGTCAAAAGCAAGAGAGGTAGCCTCTTCAACATCATAAACAGCACGTGCAATCTATAAAAAAAAAATAAGTAATTCTAAGCTTTAATATTACAAATATAATAAAAAATAAAAATCTTATTTTTATAGAAAAATGAAGAATTGATTCAAACCTATCCAGGGTCTGAGAAGTTTGATTGAAGAAGCTCATCATTTTCATACTTTTCATCTTCCAATTTATATGAACTACGTAAAATAGTAAGACATGTACTTAAAATTAAAAACTCATTAACATTGTATACACAAAACAATATAGCTTCTTAACGCTTGTATACCTTCCTAATTGTGTATTAATCCATTTGAGTAAACGATCATAAGTTCTTCCATCTTCAATAGAAACAATTTTACTTTTTTCATCTTTCCCATTCCAGCTACCACCCACAAATTTAGAAGGTGGGCCCCAGAATAGTGAATGGCAGTGACTAATAGAGAATTTATCGCATAGATTGTGAAGAAAACATATAAGTACCTTATAATTTCTACAAGCTGGACACCTGCAAAGAGTAATAACAGAAACAAATTAGGGCTATAAATGGATAACATTTTTTCAAAACACCCTTGTGGAAGATATAGATTGACTCTAGGGGACAAATTGTTTTCATGAAAGGTATAAATTCAAGAAATTTCTAGGTATAAATAGACCAAGTGTACTATGGGTATGGAGGAGAAGAAGTGAATCCTTTTGTAATTAAAAAAATAGAATCTTTATAGCCATGAAACTTGAGATATTTCCTTTTAAGGTTTAGACATCCTTCAATTTTCTTCTATGGCATGACTGTTCATCTTTGTTCTTAATTTCTTTTCCAGCAACAACATCCTGGTAGGACCTGATTGCTCCATCCTTTCCAAATCGAGGTAATTTGTGGATTTTAGGTAAAAACACACTACTTTACTCCAGATTGATATGATGAATTCCAGATTTTATTTAGAGAAAAATCAGTGGATGAAACAATTGTCCCATAAATTTGTAACGGTATCCATTTGGAATAACAGAGGTTTTGAATTTTTATATTTATGTTTCCAGATACAGAAATTGTGAAAAGAAGAAACAGAGTAGAGCATAACTTCACGTAAAGGAAATCAAAAAACTGACAGCAGAAAATTCCTCAAAAAATAGGGTCAAAAAATAAAAAGAATGTAAGTGATAAAACGTACATCCACGTGCGATGGTATACATTTAAGGATTCGATTAAACTTGAAGGCCTGTAAGAAAACGCAGCAGAGGGTTAGGGTTGGTAATCAGGAAGAAGAAAGATGAAGAACATTGGGTGGCTAAACGGAGAAAGTAATTTCTAGGGTTTACGGTTTGATCCAACTTAGAGAGAGATGAATAAATTGAAACCTTAGATCATGAAAAAAAAGGACTGAGGTGATTCAACCGAAGCAGAAAACAAAAGAATATGAGAGCGTTCCGATTTAAACATTACAATGTTTAAGAACTAAAAACAAAAAATCAAATAGAAATCAATAAATTGGAAGCGATGTTAAAGTCTCAAGAGTATTTGGATTACCAGTGGAGATTTGGAGTGTAGAAATATACAGGGGAAGGGATGATAATGAAGTAACTCAAACGCCATGTTATGGATGAACAGGAAGGTATTCTCCGATTGTTTCTTTTGGGAGTTCGGGTTGCTTCAAACAAAGACATGGGGGAGGGGGGCCCTAACCTGAAAAGCGAGACATGCAGCAATAGAAGAAGTAGCGGAACCTGTCGATTGCGGAAACAAAAAAGGCGTGGAATCAGCTCACAGCAGTCCAAGATAACCCTTCACATCAAAACATACCTGAAAGAGAGAGGCGAGAGAGAGAGAGAGAGAAGAAAACAAAAAACCAAAATTGAAGCTTACTTGTACATTCATTTGTTGTCGAAGAATAAGGATGCAAAGAAAAAGAGAAGAAAGAGAAGAGAGATAAACCAGATGAAAAGGTGGAGGCGGTGGAGCTTGGTGGTGGTCGATTCAATATTGTAAAACCTAAATCCAGAGAAAGTTTGTGAGGATTAGGGTTTAGATCAACAGATATGGTGTGATCTTCCTGATTTAATGGGATTATGCTTGATGATCGGTTAAAGATTATATGATTTGCTGATATTATGGGATTGATTGCAATGAGAATTTGAAGAATACACCGAGTTCTACAACATTTGAGCGGGATGACTGTATAAGGGCAAAGTAGGAATTTCACATAGATGAAATGAGCGGGAAAAGCAAAGACGGAGGGACTAAGGAGGTGCCACGTGTCATCTAATGTACTGTTTTATTAGAAGAGAAGATACAACCAAATTTTTTGGACATTTAAAAAAATAATATATATTTTTGAAAACTAGGTTATAACCTGTAGAATCCACGGTTGACCAAATAAAACAATATATAAACTTCAAAAGTGTAAGAGAGAATCGAAAAAAAAGATTTAAACAAAACTTCATAAATGGTCCATGTGGTATCAGCAATGGCTTTCTTAAGAGTTCCACTCATTCTTCGCCTTTATACGATGGTGGGTTCACCGAAATCTGCCATCAGAACGAGAACAACACCAACAACTACGAGAATGACCAACGAAAACCGCCCTAAATCAGTGAAGGAACCTGCAACTCTTGTAGCCAACGTGCAACCACTCCAACAAACATAGATCTCGTGTTAAGCTTTTTACGGTGAACCTTTCGAAGATGCGACTCCCGTTCATCGACGTGCTTCCCAACTTCGATGAATCCAACGCTCACACATGCTCCATATCTTCTTCCATAAGCACCTGAATGATATACCTTAAAATCATATCTGACAGATCACAATCTTCTTGAAGCTCATCATCCAGGCTCGAAATGACAACCAGCGATGAGTAATCGGTTAGAGATCAAATTGTATACCTCTAAAGTTGAGAAGATTCTGGTACGCATTCACGTCATTGATGAGATTATAGATCGAAAATGTATTATCGAACCAGGAGCAAGTATCCTTAACTTTTTCATCAGGTAATACGGTAATACTTTGATTCCTGAATTGAAATCAATTTCCATTCGCCAAACTACCAAATCTACCGGGTCCTGGATCCGTTCACATCAACTAGATAAAATGGATGTTGGATTTGAAAACCTCTAGACATGATTAAGTGTTAGACAAACTGTTTTGAAGGCATGGATGCACACCATTCACAGAGCAACAATATCAGTAGTTGAACAAAATGAAGTATATGCAACTATGCAAAGATTAACTGGTGATTTGTTTATAAGACAGAGAGGAAGAGGTGATTAGTGGTAATATGAAATAGGTTTCTTGATATAAGTGATCATGGAATTTGTTTTGGGGGAAATTTTGCATCTGTATCAGGCATTTTGTTGTAAAAATCCCGACTAGGTCCCGATTAATCCCTAGGCGCTACCGACCGATTAGAGGAAGCCTAACGATTAATCATTGCCTATGAAATGAGTGAAGCAGTACGATAAATTTTAATACTTTGAAGAAGTTTTATCTCATTAGAAATCATTTAGGGAATGATTAGTATTGTAGTAATCATATTAACCTATTTTATTATAATGTTAGTGATATTTATGAACTTTGTTATGATATTAGTCATATTTAATTTTTAAAATTCATCGAATTTGCAATTAATGGTCTCCGATTAATCCCCGACTAGTCGATTAATCCCATAACCCCAGCCCACCGACTAGCTAATGTCGAACGTTTTTTACAACCTTGGTATCAGGTAAATTTTGCACAAAATAGCTACACATAGTTATTTTTAGTTAGCCACAACAGAATCTGGAGGATTAATCAAGATGGGTGAAAGATGGCTTCTTCTCCGGTCACTAGAGAGTAGCGTGGTGGCACAGTGATGTAAAGTGAAGTGAAGTGGGGAGAGAGAGGGAGAGAGAGAGAGATGTGGGCCCAAGCGGGATTAATTATTTTTTTTTTGTTTCACTTTATTAATTTTAATTAAAACTAATTATAAAATGAAATTAAAAGGGTATAAAAGTCTTTTTAGGTGGGTAAGGGACTATTTGTTAAAAGTTTTGAAACAACAGGGACCATCTGTGAGGTTTTTTAATCTTAGAGACTAAACTTCAGATTTCGGGATACCACAGGGACCATTTATAAAGTTTTGTCAAAGATTTATGTAACGTCGTGATGTTCACCATAATATTTTTTTTTGTTTTTTTAAAACATTTATTTAACAGTAGTGGAAGACTTAGTTTTTAATTCAAAACATTTTCAAAACCACAATGTTACTTTAAAAATTCAAACATAATTCCAGTCCGTTTAAAACGTAAACAAAAGTACTTTAAAGTAAATAATCAAAAACGTGTCCAAGAGTGGTATTGTTAATATAAATCTACTACCCATAAGAACCCCTCTCACCAAGGTCAATCTTCTAAACTTTCTGCACCAATCATAAGGCACAAAAGAGAAAAGATACAAGTGTCAGCCCCTATTAAGTGATTTCATAAAGTTGCACATAAAACATACAAACCCCAAATGGGTCAATCATTCATTTTATGATGAAGCATAAAAATGATATACAATTAAAGATAGCAAAACAACCGCATGATATAGTTAACCAGTCATATATTTCAGCGCATACATGCATAAACGTTCAACCGCAATTCTACCATATAACATATATGATCAACCAAATACCGTATAAACAGTCGAATAGCATGTAAACAATCACATTTCATATATAGATAACCTTTACTTGTTCAACCTTTTATTAATAGTCAACCTCTTGTTACATATTCAACCTTTTAATACACAACCCACCTTTGTTATATATTCAACCTTTTAATATGCAACCAACCTTTTGTTACATACTCAACCTTTTAATATACGACCAACCTTTGTTATATATTCAACCTTTTATTATATATATCCAACCGATTGATAGAAAAGTGTCCCTTAGTGCTACCTAACCTAACAGAAACACCTTGTTCACTACTTGTGTGCACGGCCAGCCGAATGCTCTAAGTGGCTCATGACTTCCACCCGAAACACCAACCCCGTGACTCCACTTTCGCTACTCCGACTTTGCAAAGTACAAATACCCCGCGGTGTCATTCAGGATCGGTACAAACGGTGTCAATTCTACCGATACACCTCCCGATTCCTACGTAATGTTTGATCCGGCCACACCATAAAGCCAACACCACTCCAGTTCCCGTACACCGAGGTGCACACGAACCACGTGTCACACGACCATCTAGAAAGTTCGTACAACTAACAACCGATAAGGCTTAAGCTCTTTCAACCTATTAGACTTGCAAGGTTCTACACATGTCACCATTACACCCCGCAATGTCATTTATACATTAAGTAAAGCATGTAATGCATACCATATAAATGTGTATTAAACATGCAATGTATTCATAACCAACACATCAAAACACAACCATAAATCATATTTCAAGCAACTTAAGCTAGCATGCTATATACATCAAGTTCATCAAAGTGTAAGCAACATAGCAATTAGGTCATAACATGGCATTAGTACAAAGCATATATTAGCATCACAAATATCATATCATCATCAAGCACAAGTAATGACATGGTCATCCTAAAGTGAGTCAAATCACCATCTACGGATTTCACGTTTCAATCATGCAACCTTAGTAAGTTAAAACTATGAACTCACCTTTAGCCTTGAAGAAATCCTCCTTCAATTCCAAGTCTTGAACTTACTTGAAATTCTCAAGGCTCCACCTAAACACCATACATAACATTCAATTAACAAATAAAGTATATGTTTCAAAAATAAACCTTTATTCTAACTTTTATATTAATTTTTATAATTTCCCAGCCCGACCCCCGTTCAGTGTTTTAAGCATAAAACCGAATCTAGAGCTCTAATTGAGATGACATCGGACTTTCTGGAAACTAGACTCGCCTAGAACTTCATGAGAGTGGAGCATCATCCAATTCTGCCCAGATTAGCAGCTATAGCTCTCGTGAATCGAGGCAAAGTTGTTGTGTGAAATTCCAACATTCACCAAAAATCACCATATGCTTTAAGACTTTAGGTAAAGGATTATAGTCACTCAATTTTACACACAAAAGGATTAAATGATAGTATTAAGACATAAATTGTGTAGTTTATTATAATATCAAACAGATGACACAAACATGCTGAGAGTAGAATGCCTAAACATATAGAAGAACGTTTAGAACAAAGTTCCATATTTTGACCCGTAACAGCCACCAATTCAAAGCCATTTTAACACCGCCAAGGCCTTTGAAATATACAATATTTTTGTATATTACAGTAGTTTATACTTTTATCTTTTTAGAAAGTACTTTTAAAGGTCCAAACGATTTTTTTACAATATTATATGGATTTTACAAGACAGTCTATCCGTGCAGCTAAATTCTGACCGGCTGGTGAAAAAGGCAATTTTCACCCAAGTTGGAGGCAACAACAGGTCCTGGAAAAATTCATGGACAAACTAGACTCAAATTTAAAACTTTGAGAGTTTACGGATAACTAATAAGACTTCTAATGATTTTTTTATATTTTTTTCAAAACAAGGGCAGAATGGGAAATTTTCAGAATTTCTCAGCAATGCATTTTAAGGGTTATTTGACAACTTAACCCATTAAGCCTTAACCAAAATCTACTATAAAGAAGGAATTTGAGTTCCTAACAGTAGCAACATGTCAAGAA